ATGCTGAAAAGATAGAAGTGATGGATTTACTGTTGTGGGTGGTATTAATACAGAGTTCTAACGAGAGTTGAGCCATACCTGACCCTCCATGCGCGCTGCAGCCTCCAATCTGAGTTGTCTCATTAGCCGATGGACCTGATAAATAGCTATTTTTGTTTCTGTCTCTTGGATATTTAGCTGCCGCTTAAGAATATCGAGTGTTTCCGTAGGCAAAACTGCCTCACTGTTGGCTGTCTTTTGTTCTAGTTTCGCTGATGAAATTGGTGTGGAGGCCAAATTGGGGGCGGTAATTGAAATGGGTATTCCTACCGTAGGGTCTCCGCTGCTTGATGCTTCCTTTGAAAGTTGGTAGGAAGAAATTGATCTCAAATCACTTTTACATGCCTTAGACATTCTGGCTTCAAGAATGTCCAGCTGCCGGTTGAGAGAACTGTGCGTCTCGCTTAACGTTTCGGCACGCCCACCCTATTGGTAAGTTTAAAAGACTAGCGAAGATAATTTCTTACCAGATACGGAATCCAGGATATCGAATCTGACTTGCGCTGTTTATCATTTGACGCAACCGACTGATCGCTTGTTAGACTACCTTGAAGTTCGTTCAGCAGACGATTAAGCAGAACAGGATCAGGTGGAATACTAGATTGGCTTTGCATTGAATGTGTACTGCCTATGAACAGACAGATTCAAATTTAATATTTTATGTGCAGACTGAGGTGAATAAAACTGCACTTACTTCCACACAAAAATTCACGGGCCAGATTCGTATCAAGAGATTGACTCTGCGGCAAACCGAAGAGGGAGAGAGAAATTGGCGTTGGATACCCAAGGCTGTGTCCGAATTGACCCCATGCTAGGAAGTCATCATTGGTAATGCTCTGCTTCATATGGGAGCGAGGATGTCGGTGTGGAACATCGGAGCTGTCACTTGAAGCATCGCCATTATTGCTGAAAGTACGGTGACGTCGCCGACGTCGGCCAGAAGAGGCTTTCTTTACCTTCTTCAGAGTGAGTGGAACTGTGGGATGCTTTGAGTCTTCGTCCGAAGCCTCCTCGCTGTAGATGATGCTTCTTGCCCGATCATCCCTTCCGTCTCCTACGGGATCCTCGTCAGAGCTGCAATTCTTTCTTCTCGTTTGGTGTTTTCGCCTACGGGGCGACCGCCACTCATTATCATCGGAGGAGTTTTCACAAAGGGGAGGCGAGTGACTGCGGTGGTTGCGCTGCAACAGTTTTCGACGGTGCGGTAAGGTGGCGTTAAAACTATCCCCACCGCCTGCGGTCTGACCTTCGTTGTTCTTTCTCGATACTGGATCATTTTCTTGCTTTTGTAGTGCCAGTCGATGACATACATCAAAGGCCTGACCGACCGTTCGGACTATTCTCATTGCCTGAAGCTGGCCAAAGTAGAGGCTATTCAAATCCAAATGTCTAGCTCAAAATAAAATATGATTTCGAGTAATGAAGCTGAATTATGGTGGGGAAATAAACAGAAATATATCTTCTGAATCATGATGAATCCTGTTCCATTGAACAGCACATCATAAAGGCACCACACTTAGACCGTTTTGATAAATATGTTCTACAGGCTAAATACTTTGATACATTGATCGGACATAAGCCCAAAAGGAAAACTTATGGAGATCAATGTGCATTATAATTCTACCTCATCAACTCACTTTCTTGTAAGCTTTGAAGACATAGCATTTGAAGCAACTGCTTTTCCCATCTCGTGCAATATAGCTGAATATCTTTAAGTCCTGAGAGTCGTGAGAGACGTAGAAAATCCTGAAGCAATGAAATTGAATTGCGATGCAATAAAGTTATAGCACAATTTTAGATGAAACCCAGTGATCCTAAACTAAGAGAAGCCATGCACGCGCCCTTTAAAGGTGGTGACCCATTATTAAGCACCACTGAACGCCAACTGTTCTATA